TGTGAGCTACTTATATCGACATAAGTAGTATATATGATGAGCAAGGAATAGAATATCTGACAGTAGAAGATTGAGAAAATTAAGAAGAGAGGAACAGAAGTAAAAAGCAATTTGTGTGGAAATTCAGGAAAAATGAATCCTGAGGCAATTGAAGAACATTTTGCAAATAGTGTATCATAGCATGATTTTTATATTTTACCAAATAACGTTGTAATTTGCGCTTAATATAAAGATTTGTCCTCACGTGTGTTATCAATCACAACAATAACTCTACCTGTATCCCTTCCATGGGTTGCTGCCGCTCCCAAGCCCGGATAAGGGAAGAGAGTTGTGCGTGGGATTAGCGTCCCCATCCCGTAGAAAACAAACTTGCTAAAAAAACGCTAACCATTTTAACACTAAATTCACTTAGTATTGTTTGTTTGAATCTTCCCATCGATGTGTTAGGACTGCAACTGGTCAGTCATTAATTGGCATATGTGCATACTGTGCGTATTGCCTCTATATAGTCTTAATTTAAATTTCATCCCATCGCACAAGCAAGTGGCTATCAGGACTCACTGGCCGAGTGGATAACGTGATGGCGTTTAAAGCGAGGGTACTGGGTTCGAGTCCCAGAGTGAACATCAACTCTGGGATGCAGGTACATCCAGCTGACGAGTCCCAAATAGAACGAAACGCGCGTCCTCGATTCCACTGCTAGCCACTATCCATCTTTGCTTATCATTTTAACTCTGCCTTAGAAGTCGAAGGAAGATTTATGACGCTTCATGATGAAAGCTGAGATTTTACGGAAGTCATAAGACCGATACTCCTTCTAACATCGAATGTCATGCCTACTTGATAATGGAACTGAGGTGGATAATGAAAATCTTCTTCAGATTAGTGATGTATAATCTATTCGTGAGTGGTTATTGTTTTAAAATCAACTCAATTTTTATATTTACATTACTTACTCTATCAGAAATCTGTGGAGCAAAAATAATGATTTCATTTATTTTGTCGACCTTCATTAACATCTACCATGGTTTCTAAGAGATCTGAATTGTCGTAGATATTGGTTATGTCATTTCATATCTTAAGTTATATGATTTGTCGTTTCATTCATGAATTTCATTCTTACTGTAGAAATATGTTTCTTTTATTCAATTAATTTCTGTCAACGTCAAAAATTTCTGGAAAATTTTAGATTATAAGTAAACATAGATAGTGGCTAGCAGTGGAATCCAGAACTAATTTGGGACTTGTCAACTGGATTTATCTGCATCTCATAGTTCATGTTTATTCTGGGACTCGAACCTAGTGTAGTGAACAAGAACAAGACTGAAGACAATGGAATGTATTTTAGGACAAATTACAAATTCTTATAACCCTACAGTAAACAGTTAATTTGCAAAATAACAATCAATTGTCTCAATCTTAACTGTTTCTTCTGTAAATATCAATCCATCTTCTCTGATTTCATTGTTCATAAATTTTCGTACCGACTGCGCTTCATTCCTGTATTTTTCTTATCGATCTTCTACCAAAATACATTCTATGTCTAACAGTCATCATATACTATTTATGTAGATATAAGTAGACCATACCACACTGGTGAAATCGCACACCCTTCTCTTCAAACACCATCACGTTATCCACTTAGCTACTAAGTCGTGATAGCCACTTGTTTGTGCAGTATGGTGAAGTTTAAATTCATTTGGTATTGTTTGTTTGCAACTTCCCATTGATGCTTAGGACTGCAATTGATCAGTCTCTTATCTGAACAGTACGAAACGCGTATCCTGGATTCAACTGCTAGTCATTATCCATCTCTGCTTACCATGCTTGTGAATTAAGGCTATATCGAGACAATACGCACAGTATGCACATATGGCCAATAAGAGACTGGTCAATTGCAATCCTAAACATCAATGGGAAGATTCAAACGAACAATATCAAATGATTTTATTGTTGAAATCATTAGGCAATTGAGGCTAGACCACCATGGAAAACCTGAAAGCACAAAATCCCCTTCGGATAATACCTAGTGAATTTAAAATTTTAGATTATTGTCAAATTCATTTCTTACATTATTAGGATGAATATCTCATTGTATATCTGCTCAAAGTCTAATACTCATTTGAGAATAGTGGACTTTTAAAAACGGAAGGCAAGGATTTCATTAAAGAACCAAAAAGATCATGGATATATGAACACCTTCCATTAACTACATCATTGCAATTCAAGTGTTACAATCATATTTTAAACAATAGTTAAAAAAATGAATCGTTGAATTAGATTGTATTGTGGTGTAGATTACTTATATTCTCATAAGTAGTATATGGTGATAGTCAAGCATAAAATGTATTTTGACAGAATATCGATAAGGAAAGAACAGGAATGAAGCTCAATCGGTATGAAAATGCATGAACAATGAAATCAAAGAAGATGGATTGATATTTGCAGAAGAAATAGTCAAAATTAAGCCAATCGATTGTTATTTTGCAAATTAACTATTTGCTACTGTATGGTTATCAGAATATTGTGAGATAGTCTGTAATTTGTGCTTGAATACATTCAATTGTCCCCAACAGTGTTCTTGTTCACTACAGTATGATCAAATGTCCTGGAATTGTTATCCTTAGAAATTATCATGTTTAGTACCTACAATAAACGAATTATTTTAATGAACTAACGAACTTGTTTCAATCATTATTTACCTAATGATTAAACTTGCTAATCAAAAATCATTTGTCTGTAAATAGATGGATGATTTGTTGTTTGTTATTATTCTTCTTTTGTTTTGTCCTAATGCTTCTTTTTTTAACTCCATCCTAATGAATAGGAAACTTTTTCCGATATATATATATATATATAGTCTTTTACTCATAAGATTAGTAATTAGATCAGAATTACCCATAAAGCATTTCATCGTATTAATAATCCTCCTACCAGGAGGTCCACTTATCGATTTAGAATATGCAAATGACATAGTCCTGTTTGGTGAAGACGTTGACAAAATGCAGAGTCTTTTGTTAGAACTGAGTAATAATGCCAGGATGTTTGGAATGCGTGTCTCCCCCTTTAAATGCAAGTTTTTGCTCCATCACTGGGCTGCGTCAACACCTGAACTAAGGATAGGGAGTGAAATAGTGGGACGCGATGATAACTTCATTTACATTGGAAGTCTGATCAGCCGTAATGGGTTGGTGTTTGACGAAATCTCAGTACGGATGCAAAATGTTCGTTTGGCTTTTGCCAACTTACGTCACTACCCATGGCGAAGGCGAGATATCTGTCCATTAATTAAGGGACGAGTATACTGCGCAGCAATTCGCTCTGTTCTACTTTACGGCTGCGAAACATGGCTATTAGGAGTAGAAGATACTCGTAAATTACTAGTATTTGACCACAGATGCCTCAGATAATATGTGCTACGGTGATTTATACATCTTAAGGTAATTAATGACCTAGAAAATAAGGAACTCTCCCTTTTGTAAACTAGTGTGAAGATGCTATGACTCTTGAAGATTTTCATTTTTGCAATCAATAATGGGATAAACGACTGGATCAATGAAGATAGTTAGGATAATCTTCCTCAGTATGGGGTTATGCATGTAGATGAATTTCATTGACATGACGTACCGGTCAAAGTCAGAAAAGCCTAAAAGTACTGAACAGCCGTTTTATTCTAATATGGGATTCCTCCACGGCTCTGCAACCGAAAACTGAGTCCAGGATCAAAGGTTTATGGCGAGAAAGTTTGTTTTCTAAATCAATGAATCATTATCTAGTGGTGTAAAGGTCTAACTGCAACTGACACACGATACTGAGCAACCACTTTTCATTGACATAGTTAGGTGGATTCCACAAACTATAATTTAATTCCTGGTAAAGGGGCTGTGGGTATATATTGTCCAGTACTATTTCAAGCCCATATGTGTTATTCTAGCTTCCGGACAGACCAATTCTTTTATTCTACTTGAATCACATTTTAACGCTGTCCCTTATTCCAATAATATCCTTGACTGCTTTTTTATGGGCCTACGTGTCTGTTTCGATTACCCTATCGATCACATGCATTTGACTTATTTTTGTCTGGCTATTAATATTGATTCACGCTTTCTCAAATGGAGTCAGAATATTTGACTTCTCCGCTTTGCTTCTCTTTCCCATTTCTTTTTCCTATTTCCTGTTTGAATAAGCGAGTGATGGAAATAAATTTATCCAACTCGACTCGTATTTTGCTTTTTATTATGACCGCCGCAAAAATGGGTTACCCTTTTCATGGCGTATTCGTTCGTTCTTCTAACTATGAATTATATCAACGGCCTTAAAAACGATGCGAACTCGTGAGGAGTGCTAAACTAGAGCGAAACATCTGTCCATTACTTTCTCAACTTAAAATGGTTCGTGATTTCAATAAGATAATTTTGTCGACGAATAAGTTATTATTCTTTCGTCTATTTTATTATAGTTTAGTGCTGTTGAACAAATCGATAACAGAATCTTACCACACCATCACGTTATCCACTTAAATACTAAGTCGTGATAGCCACTTCCTTGTGCAATGGGATGAAGTTTAAATTCATTTGGTATTGTTTACTTGTATCTTCCAGTCCTAAATGACATTCGGGAGATACAAGTAAACAACACCAAATGAATTTTTAAAATTATTAGTTTTAAATGGAATCAGAAGGAGGGGGGTTGTGGAGATATTAGTAATTTTATATAGTTCAGACTGATAGATCCTGAGATGAAATCTCTTGAGGAAGGATCATGGATGCGCACCACTGAGGATTCCTACAGTAGGACGAAACTGCCTACTAGTACTTCAAGATTTTCCATGGCGGTCTAGTTTCAATTGACTCATGATCTCAACTATATTAAACAGAATCAACGAAAATCATCATTTTACTTTTATTTCTATTTAACAAATACATAAAGTACATACTGTATCTGATTATATAATCATGTGTATTATATTAAACTCAACCCCCCGTAATGATAGTTTTCTTTTAATGTTTATCTATCATAGAAACTATATTCAAACTATTCACTTCATCAATAATTCGTTCATAACCATCATTTAAATGTTTCTCCATTGTTTCAATGACAACATTTACATTTTTTAAATCTATTCAATGTTCATTGAATAAAGAAAATTTTTGTTTTAAATTTACCCATTTCCGACTTGAAAAGATCATGTATACCAACCAATGAGATTGAACTGTTGTCTTCATTTGAAATTTTTTTATACTTTAAATTGATCACTGGAAAATTATCCTAAAAAAAATAGTTTTTTTTTGTTGTTTTTGAAATTCCCCCCCCCCGCTTTTTTTTATTATTATAACTAACTATATTATAAACTTTGAAAAATTCATAAAGATCTTTTGGAAACCATCCAGGATTTATCTTAGTCTGATGAAACGTTTTATGCATATCAGTGAAAATCTTTTCTTCGTCTTCATGTTCATTGATATTCATATTGTATTGTTGTTTATCTTCTGGCAATTGATAATTGATTGAATTCATGGATGAAATTATTTCTAAACATAATTGAGAATGGATAATTGTTTATGTTTTCTTTTTTATTTATTAAAAACCCATAGAAAATTGTTTCCATGTGAAATGTGTAAATAATTTGGATTTTTTTAAGAATCATAGAGAAGAGTAAACTATTAACAATCTAGTGATGTGCAAATGTTGAAATGATTGTTCAGTAGCATTTAATAATAATAAAGTATATCAATAAACCTTAGCCCCCAAATATCCCGGTACGGCCGAGAGTATGGAGAGCCCGCCCTGTCTCTCTAAATGCTCTTACATGGCCACGCGTATATAGCCTCTGCCAAAGAAGTCCTACTCACTGCCTTCTCGTGGTGGGGGTGTTGTTTACGAAAGTGAGAGGACGAAAAGCGAATGTCTGGCGCTTTAACCGGGTTGGTGGACATGGAAAGTTCACCTAGGGGAGTTGGAAAACCCTGAATCCAAACCAATGGTGCACATGGGCTCCAGTATCCTAAGGGAACAAATGGCGGACGAATCAACCGTTGATCACCGGCTACTATGGGACTGCATCTCCTCACGATGCTCCACTGCCTTGTGTATCAGATTTTTAGGTCAAAGACTCCGATTGTGGCCCCTTAAGAAAATCACTTGCTTCAGTTTGGGCACCTGGGCAATATCACAGCCGTCACACAAATCAAATGAGATATGTGCGGCGCATATATATCTGGTGCACCTTTGTACCAACATTTATGTGTTTAAATAAATAAATAAACGTTTCTACATATATTTTTGTCAAACCAATTTGCATTTAGTTAATGTAGCTTAAGTACATTTCTTATATACAACTGTTGAAAAATTAATAAATACCATCGATTTAAATGGATAAATAGTATCCATGTCCTTGTCCACTGGGTCTCAGAAAAACAATTACATCTAGCGAAAGTTTTAAAAATTTATCACATATATGAACTAGGAGTTGATAGACAAAATAACATGTAATGAACTAAAAAAGTCTGTTGAAATTTACAACATTCTACATTATGAAGTGACTTTGATTGGAAAACCATTGAAAATCTAGATAAACTGAACAGCAATAATTTAAAATTATGATGTGAACCGCGTAACAAGAAGCCTTCACAAATTACAGAAGCTATTTTTGGGGACGTTATTTCATTTAATTCAAAGCTTGTAAAACTGTAATATTTACTTTTGTCCCTAGTCTATTCTAAAGATTGTAAGCCTTCGTTTGATGTATGATTCATTGCCATAGCTTTTTCTGTTCCAAAGCTATTTTAATTTGGACGCAACCTTTTGTACTCTATTTTCTGCTGTAATCCCCCAGTTTTTGACATAATTGTATTTTCCTAATTATTGTATGTTGTGGTCAGGTTAGTCATCTATTTATTCATGTAACTTTTCACCCTGTAGCTGTAAATAATTCCCAAAAATCAATAGCTCATTAAGTGTTTGACATTGGATGCTGACCACGTTGTTTAAGTGGACTTGTTTAGCTGAAGGCTTTCGGTCATGCATCCGCATCAGATCACGTTTCAATACTGCGTGGGACACAGCTCCTACGTTTTCATTAGCCAGCTCATAGAAAAGGTCCTCGATATATTGGTAACGAATCAAATATATCTTTCCTGCCTCTTCTCGTTTGACTTCTGATTTTCTATCTGACTGGGAACGACCGAACATAGAAGGTGCTACTGGTATCCAGTTGTAAAACTAGAATATCCGTTGCATCATCATTGGTGAACCCGACGTGATCTGGTACACCAAGTCAATATACTGTGAGTCTGTTCCATTTTGGAATATTATTATTTATTGTTATTCTTTATTTGAATTTTATATATTGTGATATACCTTTTTTTTCTCGGATATATTTTACTTAGACATTTTTCGATATCTATATTACTATGACGGAACACTCTCCTAAGGTTCTTAAGTTCAAGTCTATTCCCCCTATTTCGATCCAGTTAACGCCATTTTGGCCCGACAATATCGAGTCCTGGTTCTGCTATGCAGAAGCCGATTTTAGCATGCACGGAATCACCGACTCGCGCACACGTTTCCTCGCAGTAATTAAGGCGTTACAGCGCGAGTTTAACAGGTACGTAACACCTAGTATGTTTACTAGTGATGTTCCCGAACCTTACGAAACGCTTAAGCTATCGATCTTAAAACGCGAAGACCTAACTGATCGACAACGGTTAGACCAACTCTTCCATAACATCGACTTGCAACATGGTTCTGCGACGGACATGTTGCTTAGAATGAGAGAAGTCATCGGCCAACGAACTTTCGATGATGGCCTATTTAGACAACTTTTCTTGTCTAAACTCCCTCAACAGGTGCAGGCAGTGCTTGTTTCATTTCAAAACAATGCCATAGATGAACTAGCTGCATCTGCCGATCGAATCTTGGAAATCACTAGATCTTCTAAGGCCGAGGTTTTTTCCGTCAAAGAAAAACCCCAATCGACCTCGACTGACATGGCCGAACTATGTCACACGCTTACACGATATCTTAGAGTTCGCAATGACCGTAGTCGGTCAAAAACCCCGCGTAGAAGTGCCTCACGTAAGCGATCTGGCTCTCGACCACGAGAGACAGACAATCCCGACTGGTTCTGGTATCATAACCAGTACGGTAAGTTTTCCAGAAACTGCAGGAAACCTTGCAATTATCCGACCCCAAAATCGAGTGACACGAAAAACAGTTCGGGAAACTTCCCAGCCGGCACGCGTTAACGGCAACCGTAGCCGGCGAACATAGCCGCCTCTTATATGTCACGGATGTGACTACGAAAGTTCGCTACCTCTTCGACACTGGCGCAGAAGTTAGCGTTCTTCCAGCAAATCTCGACGACAGACTTCGCGAGTCTGTTTTAAGTTTACAGGCGGCAAACGGAAAGCCGATCGCTACTTACGGTAAAAGGTACGTCTACCTTAACGTGGGTTTACGTAAACCCATACACTGGATTTTCGTGGTTGCAGATGTCTCTATGCCAATCATTGGTATTGACCTGTTACAACACCACAATCTACTCATCGACACACGCGCACGAAGGTTAATAGACGGAAACACTAAGTTGTCCGTTTGCGTAACTCCTTGTTCTGGTTGCAGGTTATCCCCAGTCACGATTAAGCACGCCATAGACCCCTTGTACCAAGCAGTGCTCGACAAATACCCCGAGATATACCAATCGCAATCGAAATTACCTTGTGTAACCAGCAATGTTACACATCACATCTCGACTACAGGACCACCTGTATTTTCGAAAGCCCGAAGACTCGCTCCCGAAAAACTTAGGTTAGCTAAAAACGAATTCAACCACATGATGGACCTAGGAATAATTCGACCATCGAATAGTCCATGGGCATCCCCATTGCACATGGTCCCTAAAAAGGACAGCAATGATTGGCGGCCAACTGGTGATTATCGGCGTCTGAATGCTAAAACCATTCCCGATCGTTACCCGCTGCCTCATATTCACGATTTGACAGCTACCTTGAAGGGTACAACTGTCTTTTCGAAAATCGACTTGGTTAAAGCTTATAACCAAATCCCGATGGCACCTGACGACATTCCTAAAACCGCCATCATCACTCCCTTCGGTCTTTACGAATTTCTACGAATGCCCTTTGGTTTAAGAAACGCGGCTCAAACCTTCCAAAGGTTTATAGACGACGTCTTCCGAGGTCTCAACTTCGTGCATGCGTATGTTGATGACTGTCTAATAGCAAGTCCGGACAAAGAATCGCATCTCAAGCATCTGGACATTGTTTTCGATCGACTCCAAAGGCATGGCATTACTGTCAACATTCAGAAATGCCAAGTCGGAACTAACTGCTTAGACTTCTTAGGACACACCATTGATGCCCAAGGCATCCGACCCCTTAGGAGCAAAGTGGCGGCCATTCTGGATTACCCAGAACCGACCACGATCAAGCAGTTACGAACTTTTAACGGACTCGTAAGTTTCTATAGACGGTTCATACCTAAATGCGCATCCCTAATGAAACCGTTAACCGATCAGCTTCGTGGAAATGCGAAATCAATTAGTTTAGACGACATAGCTCGTAAAGCATTTTCCACAGTTAAGGAACACATCGCTAAAGCAACCTTGCTTGCTCATCAGGACAGTCAAGCGCCCATTAGTATCGCCGTAGACGCATCCGACTCAGCAATCGGAGCAGTCTTACAACAATGGGTTAACAACTCGTGGCAACCTTTAGGATTTTTCTCGAGACGGTTGCTAGACGCTGAATCTAGGTACAGCACGTTCGGTAGGGAACTCCTAGCTATGTATTGTGCTGTACGGCATTTTCAACATTCCATCGAAGGAAGAGAATTCACGCTCTTTACCGATCACAAACCTCTTACCTTCTCTTTAAGTTCATCTTCAGACAAGTACTCACCAAGAGAGTCTCGACAACTCGACTACATTTCGCAGTTTACTTCAGACATACAACATATTTCTGGAGCAAACAATGTAGTCGCAGACGCCTTGTCTCGAATTAGCTCCTTGAACAGTTTCCAAGGAATCGACCTTCTTAAACTCGCTCAGCTTCAAAAAGAAGACATTGATCTTCTGCATGAGTTATCCTCGACAACTCTTAAACTAAGTATTAGGCAGATGGGAACAGGTAAGGAAACCTTACTCTGTGACACATCTACAGGTAGGAATCGTCCAATTGTACCAAAACACTATCGCCGCAACGTCTTCAATATGTTGCACAATCTTTCTCATCCAGGTGCTCGTGCAACAATCGAACTTATAGCCGAACGCTTTTGTTGGCCTGGCATGAATAAAGACGTGAGGGAGTGGTCACGCTCCTGTGTAAGCTGTCAGAAATCTAAGGTAATCAGACACAACAAATGTCCCTTAGGTTCTTTCAAAACCCCTGACGCTCGTTTCGACCACGTCCATCTAGATTTGGTAGGACCCTTACCCGACTCGAACGGATACTCATATCTCCTAACATGCGTAGACCGTTTTACTCGATGGCCAGAAGCAG